CCTCTCCAGCATTTGTCATTGGTTGATTTCTTGAAGACAGCCATTCTTTGTGGGGTGAGATGGAATCTCAGTGTTGTTTTAATTTGCACTTCTCAAATGACTAACAATGTTCAACATTTTTTCATAGATTTATTCGCCATTAGTATTTCTTCATCTGAGAAATGCATATTCATCTCAGATGCCCATTCATGGATCGGGTCTTTGAATTTTGGGGGCCTGATTTTTTTAAATTCTTTATATGTTCTAGATAGAAGCCCTTTGTCTGAGGGATAGCTGGATAAAATTTTTTCCCAATTTGTGGGTTTTCTTTGCACCCTGCAGGTGATTTCTTTTGATGTGCAAAAACTTTTCAATAAAATTAGATCGCAATTGTTGATTCTTTGAAGTATTTCCCGTGCAGTTTGCTTTTTATGCATGAACTCTCTGCCTACCCGTATGGTTTTGAGATTTGTTTTCCTTTTTGTAAGCTTGTTTCTTGCAGTCCTGGGGCTTGGTAGCTAGGATTATAAGCATGAATCACCATATCAGACTAACGTGGGCATTTTAAATAAACTAAACCAAGCAATCTTAAATGATTCATCCAGAAACTGGACATGAATGTATTTAAACAAAGAATTTTACACATTCTTGGGTTTTGCTTGCTTTGACATTAAGCCCTGGGATTACAGAAAGTAACAATAATGTACAATGGCAGGGTCTCCCCACCTATCTTCTACACTTCTATTACCTGTCACAAGTCATGCTCACACTAGGCCATTGCTCTACAGAATTTGTCAGCAGTAATTCTCTCTCATTCTACTAGAAAATATTCCTAACAATGTTACTACTTCCCTATCCTATAACATATAGCACACTGAATACTGAATATATGAAATGAAAGTCACCCCCAAAATTCCTATCACATCTGTTATAGTTTAGATAGTAATAATCAATCTTTTGATTTTGTTTCATTTAGAACATTAGAACACTGTCAATGCCATTAATGAAGCATGGCCCTCCTTCCTATACTCACACATACACATAGTATTTTTGCTTTTTTAAACTCCATGTTCCTCGCTCTCCAATTTAGGGTTGGGGGCTTACATTGTTTCTTTAAATCCTTCTATCACACCAGAATAATATAGTGATGGTGCTGCTTTCTGAATCCCCCATCAGACTATAAAGTTTCTGAAAACAGAGGATATATCTGGATCACTAGCTACTTTGCATAACACCAGGGACCTAATAATCATTCAAAATGTGTGTAACAGGCCAGGCCTAGTGCCTCATGCCTATAAGCTCAGTATTCTGGGAGGCTGAGGCAGGAGGGTCACAAGTTCCAGCCCAGCTTGAGCAATACAGTAAGAAATTGTCTCAAAATAAAAAATGAAATAATGTAGCTCAATGGGATAGCCGGGTTCAATCCCCAGTATCACAAAAGATATCTGTGGTTGAATAAATAAATGTCTTTAAATCATACTGTGAGATCTCTAGCCACTAAAATACAGGAACAACTCAATGCACATGGTACAACCATTTAAATTGGTTTGTAAATTTTCTTCAAAGAGAAACTTCTACTTAACAAGTGATCATTTGGTTCTCGTTAAGCTAAAAGAAATAAAATCATGTGCCTAAATATCTATACAAAGATTTGTACACATATATTTATAGTAGCTTATTGCTAACAGGCCAAACTTATAAAATTTATAGTAGGTCAATAAAAAAGTCTTTTAAAAAAGTTAGGCACATACCTGACATTTGACAGTATGTCTTTCACAAATGTTTTCCGACGAAGTAGAAAGCCATACTTCACTTGTACTCGATAGTAAATGTTATGGAAACTTAACACAGGCCCTTCAGTACATGTATTCAGATCACTGGAGGTCACATAATGTTCTTCTGATATTGGGATAGAAATCAGGCCATCACTGGAAGACATCCTGAGACTTGCTGCTTTTCTGTAAAAGGAAAAGGAACAGTAAGTTGATAGTCCAAATGAATAAGATGGTAAACCCTAGGTAACAAGAAATTTAAGCTAAGTTTTTAAAACCATAATGCTATGGTAAATTTCCTTTCCTGGAAAATCATCATGATTGCTAGAACAACTCTAGAACTGACAGTGGGAGACAGATATAATAATGAATACCTGCTCTCCAATTGATGTCACATCAATTCCCAGTAAACACAGGGTTAGGAGTATGAAAATTACTCAAAACTCAGTAAGCAGGAAAAACATAGATGAAAGCTAGACATGTGTGGCTTGCACAGTATATTATGGTACAACTTAAGTAAAGGGAAAGATTACATGATCATCATTGTATCCCCTATAGTTTTTATTTTAAATTTTGAGTTTACAACATTATTTATCTAAAGGGGCTTAGCCAAGCAGTCAGGGCAGCAGAAATTTCTCTGCATTTATACCTCCAGACAGATTTTATAACTCTGATTGTTATTTGTCAGCTGAGAAGGTAAATTCTACAACTGTTTGCTAGGACATAATCATTTCCTTAATGGAAAAATATATATAAATTCTAGGAAGATTAAAAATTGATTATGAAAATGATTAAATAAGTCTAACCAATAGTCAAGTAGTTTAAGACTTTAAACCAAAAACTGAGTATTGCTTGTGATGGTGCACACCAGTAATTCCAGCACTCAGGAGGCAGAGGCTGCAGTATCACCAAGACTTTGAGGCCAGCCTAAGCTACACAGTGAGACCCTGTCTCAAGAAACAAACAAACAAACAGACGAAAAAAAAAAGACCATCAAAAAACCCCTGGATATTATGTTTATAAATGAAGTTTAAAATGTTTTAGTAAACACATTATAAAAAGATCCCTTTAAATGATTTTAATGAGAGTAAGGCCTTAAGGTAAACAGAGCATGTGAGAACAGATATGAAATATGAAATGCAAAAAATAAAGCTATTTTTCATTTTTAAAAGCTGAAGTCATCCATGAGGAACTGCCCATGGTGGGCTAGCTGCCTAAACAAATCATCCTCCTGTAAGCAACCATAAAAGAAGACACAACGTAAGAAGCAACTGTGTAGAAGTTTCACATGAGTGAAGAAGAGGGGGCTTCACAGAGGCCTCCTTCTAGAAATTAGAATAGCATGTTTGTTAGCTTTCTGTTGATGTGACAAAGTACCTGAAAAAGTCAACTGAACGGCACAAAAATGTACTTTGGTACATAGTTTAAGTCCATCGTCAGTTGTCCAGGCAGAAACATAATGATGGAAGGATGTGGTTAAGGAAAGCAGCTCACTTCATGTCAACCAGGAAGAAGAGAGGGAGAGAAGAAGGAAGGGATGACAGGGGAGAAGAAAAGGAAAAGGAGAGATGAGAGGAAAGGAAGGAGGGGGAGAGGAAGGAGGGGGAAAGAGGAAAAGGGTGACAAAGGGCTAACCTTCAAAGGCACATCCCCAGTGATCCAGTTTCTCTAAAAAGACTTCACCTCCTGAAGGCACCACCTTCCAGGAGTGCCACCAACTGGGGACCAACTCTTCAAGATTAAGTCATTGGTGAACATTCCAGAGCCAGACTACAAAGTTCACTCCAGGCTCCCAAAGGCTTATATGTATCTCATAAAGCAAATGCATTTAGTCTTCTACAGTAGTTCCCAGTCTGAACAATTCCAACATTGCTCAGAAGGCCAAGTCAAAGTCTCCTCTGAGATTCAAAGCAAACTGTAAACATGAGCCACTGTAAAGTTCAAAAACTAGTTACATATTTCTAACATACAATAGTAGCACAGACACAAGGCAAATATCCCCAGTCCAAGAGAAAACAATAGTAGAATACCATGGAGAATTCAGACAATAACGACCAAAACACAACAGGGCCAACATTAAGTTCTGTAGCCCTATGTCTGGCATCTGGGACACAGGTTGGCATGATGTAAACTACCAAGGGCTTGGGGATCCACACTGCTATGTATGATCTTTGTGGCTACAGACCATATAACCACTCCCTTGGGTTAGCTCTGCTCATTGCAGATAACCTTCCTAGGAAGATGTTCCATGTTCTGGCATTACTAACTTTTTGGAGCTTCAACTACAGTTTTCCCTTTATTCTCATAGCTTTATGCATTACCCTCCCAGGATCTGACTGCAGGGATTTCCATCCTGCCTCCCAGGCTTCCCAGACCTTCCTTTGAAATCTGGAGGGAAGCTTCTGTGACCTCCACAACTCTTGCATTCTGCATGCTTGCAAAATCAGAACCATGGGGAGAATGCCAAGTACTTCTACCAGAGCAAAGAGTAGCCAGGCTCACTTAGATCATGGCTGCAGTGGCCTCTGAGGGCCTGCACAGCTAAGCAGAGTGAAACAAATGCACAGAAAACAATGTCCCAGGTGGTCCTATGCAAGAAGGGTACCCCAGGGCCTTCTTCACAAGGAAATGTCTTTTAAATGATTTCATACTTCTATTCCTTGAGGCTGTGATGGGTGGGAAATGGCTAATTCCCAAATGACTTCAATCTATCTTATTTTCCCAGTGCAAACTATTTGGTTTCCTTTGTCCGGTGCTAACCTCTTTAGCAATAACACCTTTAACACCAGTGTTACTACCAAACTACTAGTTTTTCAAATCTTTCTGCTCTGCTTTATGCCAAGTCTGTTACAACATAGCCAAAAATACACATGCCATAGCCTAAATGCTATGTCATCTTGTGGCATTCTAACCAGTGAAGTCACCTTTTTGCTTATTTTTTAAAACGTTACAACTTTTCCTTTCATATATCCTGCTATACCTGCTACAATGATAATCTGGATTAAAAATCCAGTTTCCTCTACCTTTTATCCCACTCTTATTTAATACTTCTCTGAAACCAGAGTGCAAAACTCGGCTTTCATACAAAGAAAACTGCACATAGGTAAGAAAAGACCACAGGTAGCTTCTACATCCTCAATTACTTATAAATGGAAAGGAACAGGAATGAAAATGCACCCTGAAACACCCAGTGTAGACTCTAAATTCCAATGTTGTTCCATACTGTAGTTTTGGAGTCAGGCCACTGAAGCAGCGCAGGATCCAACGTCACCGTAGCAGTGATCTGGGGTTCATGACTTTTGGAAAAGACCCCACAAATAAAGAACTACACACTTGTTGGGGAGCACAAATTCACAATGGCTAGTTTTAAATACTTCCCTAAGGGATGAACGGAGGTTTGGGATTATTGGGATCATCATTCTTTTGAGATTTCCCATTATCTCGCTAGGGGTGGGCCATTTTCTCCCACCTATTCAGACTAAGACTAAAACCACCAAGACTAAGACTAAGGCTCACACTAAGACTAAGACTTCTAAGACTAAAATCACTCTCAGCACAAGACCACGTCCAACCTCTGAGTCATTCAATAATCCCATCACCATTTTCCTCAACCAGGAAATATGAGGTTCTGGCTGTCTTGTTGCCCTTTGTTTCCCATGAACAACTGATCATCCCATATCCCGGCTGCATTGCCATTCTGTCTCTGGCTCTTTCTTTTTGCCATGCACTGTAAAGCCTGGCAGGAGATTGGAGCAACCGCAGAGGTTCCCACACATGCTCAGTGAGAAGCTCTCAGGATTTTAGTCAGAAAAGGCTCAGGATGTTATTATGTTTTTAAAAGGACACTCTGGCTGCTATGTGGAGAATACTGAGGTAAAGAAGTTAAATTGGAAGTAAAGGCCAGTTAAATGGCTACAGCAGAAAATGGGCACAGATATTCTGGAACAAAGGGTGGGCCTAAGAAATGGCAGAAAGGACATCAACTTCAAGGGCTCAAAATTATGAACTTTTATTAAAACTGAGAACCCTGAACAAGACAGTTATAGAACACCAATGTTCTCTTTGTTATACAATAATGTATTTCCTTAGGTTTTCTTCAGTGAGTTATGAGAGAAGACCTCTAAATTCTTGATCTGAGGCCCTGGAAATTAAATTGACCATAGGTTTAGGTGTTGCTCAGTGACAGACCAAGAGTTTAGCATGGCCTAGGCCCTGGTTTCAACCCTAGCACCACTGCAGACCCACATTTCATAGAGCATCCAACTGTGAGCGGTTCTCAGAGAGAAATCATCAGAATTACACTACATCACACAGTTTGAATGTTTAATGTCTTACTGGCTACACTGATTTCAGAATCCATATGGAAGATTTGTTTTGTCCTTGGTCTCCCCACCCTTGACTTCTCCTTCAAATACCTTGCCATTCCCAGTACCTCAGTCCAGTACTCTCCCAACTTGTTGCTCTGAATAAAGACCTTCTTCTGATTCCGACCTCTCTACCTTCCTCCTTCCAGCTATACTTTCTAATTAACAAGCACTCTCTCTTTTAAGCCAACTCAATGGAATGGCTTTTGGTACATTCAAGCAGAGACTCTACTTTAGATAAAGGAGATGGTCAGATGGTGCACAATTCACAGAAAAGATCCCAGGGCAGTCATGCATTGGTAAGTCCACACTGTTAAGAAGTAGAGGAGAGGACTGACATATATTTTGAGTTTAAAGCAGGTGAATTCCAAAAATTCCTTACCTGAGCCTCCAAAAAGAACTTGGTTGTCAGAAAACCTCTCCCCAGGAGCAATCAGGGAAGATTAAGGCTAATCATAGACACTGTCACAAAATTCATCACTCTCATCTATTTTCCTGAAGAACCATTCATCCTGAAGTACTTTATTTTCTTATACATGTGCCCTTTCTCCTTTATAAGATGACAAATACATCCCAAATTCTACTCAACATTATTAAATCATATTTTTAATCAATTAATTTTTCTCTAGCTAATCTGGTGTTTGTCAGTTAAAATCATATGCCTGTACCCCAAATACTCCACCTAAGAAGAGAGGAGAAAAATTTCTGCCCCTCCACTGCACAAAAAGAAGTTCCACTGAGCCCTGAAGCTGTTTTAAATGATGGAGGTTAAAATGCCAGCAAGAAGTATAGAATTTGAAAGTCAAAAATTAGTCATTTCCTGCCAACCATACATTGTAGAACAAATAACTGAAGATAATATGATTTTTGATATATAAAATAATTTATTAGTAAGGCATTGAAAGTGATTCTGTTATGTTTTGCATCTCACAATGAAGTCAGGGTGAAAAGTACATGGGTTCTTCACACAAGACCCAGAATAACCACAGCAACCTTGAGCACTTGAAGCAAAAAGAGCGACATCGTAATGCCTGATTTTAAGAGATAGTCCAGAGCCATAGCAATTGCACAGTATTAACAGGAAAACAATGGAACAGAATAGAGATCCCACAAATAAACTGTAATGGATTGATAACTGGTGGTCAACTTATAACCCACAGCTGAACTGAGTAAGCATGGTGCTGGGTATGGGAGTCCCACCTGGGAACTGTTGCCAGAAGCATAAGAGGAAGACCTGGAGAAGGAAGGCTTTTGGGAACTGAAGAGGCTGTTGGGAGCTGAGAGAGGCAGTTGGGAGCTGGTAGAAGCTGTAAGGAGCTGTTGGTTGTTTTGGAGGAGCATATCATGCTGGCTTTCCTGATGAACTTGGCTGTTTTCATCCTCCAAGGAGCTTGGGACCTTGCTGGCACTGAGAATGGCTTTGGTTCACTTTGGTGAAGTTCAGGTGCTCACTTTGAGCATCGCTTCCTGGCTCTGGAGGGGAAGATAGTGCACTGCTGGTCTCCTAGAAAAGCTTGCTGCATTGGCTTACCTTACGGAAACTCAGCCTTTTGATCATGGGAGGAGCTCAGAACCTCACTGTTGCTGATGATGTCTGTGGTATTTTTGCGGGGAGCTCTGGTTCTTCTGAGTGTTGCTTCCTGGCTCCAGTGCAGATCCCTCAGCCTGCTAGCACAGATCCTTCATCCTGCTAGCATAGACTTCCTAGAGTCCACCACTGACCTTTGGGCCTTCCAAGCACAGATCCGTGAAAGGGGCTAGCATGACATATTGTTATGGGTTCTGGGCTTCCAGTTGGATTCGTGGGAAGCACTGTTATGAGCTCTAGGTCTTAAGCTGGACTCAGGCAGGACATTATCACAGGATCCAGGCCCTCAGCTGGATTCTTGGTCTATGTTGTGTGGACAGATTTCCTGCACTCTCTTATATATCACTCTTTGGGTGATTATTATAATCATATAAAATATGTGTCCTGTATAATATTGTTCTCCCTTGCAAAATACGCCCCAAACCATAACATAAACCCACACATCTACCAACACATCTACAACCAACTGATTCTAGGAAGAAGGCAAAAGCATACATTGGAGAAAGGACTTCAAAATTTCCGTGGTGCCTGGTAAACTGCATATCCACAGGCAGACCATTAAAATGTAACCCAATCTTTCACCTTGTACAAAAGTCAACTCCAAATAGGGTAAAGACCTTAATATAAGATTTAAAACTTTAGAGGAAAAATAAGAAAGGGACAAGATATTGGCACAGATGATGTTTTTTTCTGGACTGAACCAAAAGCAATGGAAACAAAAGCAGAAAATGACAAATGAGAATGCATCAAACTAAACCTATAGAGAATCCTTCCCAGTCCTCCTCACGGCCCAGGAAGTTTGTATTTGTAATCCCATGAAAAGTTACTGGAAGTCTAGCGAGTTAATTCTAATCTACCACTTTCAATGCAACCCATGGCAAGAATAAAGACGCTAAAGCATATCTGCAGTTATGTGGGGCCAAGGGGTCCTAAGTCCAGCCATGATGATGGCTATCTGGAACAAAGGTGTTGGCCCATGGCCAAATGCAGTTTTTACTCATTCATGAAGAGAGTGGCTTGAGGATGAGTGACTGTGAGAACCATGGGAAGTAGGTGAATGCCATGAGCTGGGGTAGGTAGGAGGCCTGAAATCACCTCTGCAAATGCAGAGAGAAGCACATGCAGAAAAGAGTAATCTGCATAACACAAGTGAGGTAGTATCTAATGTTCTGGGGTCAATGCTTCAGCCCTGATGTGTAATCTTTGAATCCTCAGGAAGTCATACCGTCTATCTCAAGACTCTATGCCAGTCGACAGCATGGAGCATTGGCTCACACATCCCACCTTATAACGGCTCACTAGAGGGAGCAGTGGGGGTCCGGGGAAACACGCCTACCATCTCCAAAGGTTACCATCAGCACCTTGGCTAGACTGATATGCATGGCTTAAAGCCAATTGAAGCGATAAGGAAAGGATCCTAGCCAGCTCTGTACATATCAATGCATGGAAACACGGTCAGACTCAGCCAAAATGGAGGCAATTGCTCCTCTTTCAAGGAGAGTTCCCTAGGTGGTCCTCCCCATAAATTCTTCTGCAGAATATGGTTACAATCAACAAAGTAAAGAGACAATCTACTGAATAAGAGAAAATGTTTGCCAATTATTCACCTGATAGAGGGGTGGATGTCCAGAATCTATAGGACTCAAAGAACTCAGTAATAAAAGAACCCTAAGTAATTCATTTTAAGAATGGACAATTGGGTGCTGGGGATTTAGCTCAGTGGAATAGCGCCTGCCTGGAAAGCTCAAGGTTGTAAGTTTGATTCCCGGTACTGGAGAAAAACAAAGGACAATTGATCTGATAGATATTTCTCCAAAAAATAAATGGTCAACAGACATATGAAAATATGATCACAATCACTAATCAGGGAAATGCAAATCAAAACAGCAATAAGATACCATTTCTTCCCAATCAAAATGGCTACTAACAAAAAATACAGAAAACAAACAGACTCCTATATTCTGTTGGCAGAAACATAAATTAGTACATCCACTATGGAAAACAATGTAGAGATCCCCCCAAAATGGAAAAAGACATAGAAATAGCATATGATCCAGCTGTCCTACTCATGGTAGATATTCAAAGGAAATAAAGTCATCACAAAAATATGCATATGTTTATTACAGTACTACTTTCAATCCTAACATGTGGAATCAGTCTAACTCCCGGTCAGCAGATAAATGGATAAAGAAAATACTGTATATGCACACAACATAGTGAAGAATGAAGTAATATTGTTTGCAGCAAGATAGATGGAACTAGAGGTTGTTACACTAAGTGAAATGATCCAGACACAGAAAAAAAAATATTAGAATGAAAAATGTTCTGTCTTATGTATGGAACCTGAAAAAAAAGGCAGACCTGAAAAGAGAAGAGTGATTATTAGGGGTAACAAAAGTTAGGAGTCTGAGCGGATTACTGATGGTAGAAATGTGAATGTGCATGATTAATGCATGTTGTACATATATATGGAAATATCACAGTGAATGTCATTAATTTGTACAATTCACATGTGTAAAACATAACACATACATATATGTAGAAAATTTAAAATAAAAACTGTTTATCTTTCCACTTTCTTTAGTAAGTGTAGGGGACAGAAAATAAAAGAGAGAAATGTGTGCTGTCCACTAGACATACTTGCTTGATACTCAACTTGTAATGAAAGTAATATGACAGAAATTCAAGTTTTAATGTTATTAAATTGCAGTTCACTTAATTTTAAATGGCTACAAATGGCTGTTGGCTACCGTACTGGACAAAGCACGTCTACACTATTTATACTCTAAGATGAATTTCTTATCTGTAGATCACTGACAAAGTAATTTTACAACCTTATAAATATTTCATGTATTTACTTTATCTTATAAAACACTTAATCTTAGCCAAAAGGCCAAGAAGTGATCTATCTTCTAATAGACAAATTCATTCCAAAGTTTCAAAATACCACACCATCATGTCATCATTATACTTCTTTGAAAAACGGAACTGTGTCTTTGGAAAAAGGCAGTTACTGTGTACTTCAGACGAAGAATATAAAATTATGTATCAAAACAAGCAAGTTTGACAATCATCTTTTAAAGATGCTTTCCTTTTTATAACTCTTCTATTAGCTAAACTCAATTTTTTTTCCTCAAGTAACACAAATGGGGGGAATTTGAAAGAATTAGAACTAGTCTCTAAAAGAGAATTCACATGTTTTTAACAAAACATAGCATTTTCACTTCTGAGGTAAGTTTCATACTGCTCTACTGAAATTTTCAAATATCAACTGAAAGACATGAAAGAAAAGTAAGAATTATTTAAATAACTATAACCTTCCAGGCATCCTCCAAGACATTTCTATAAAAGCTACAAAGATCCACAAACTTGTACGCCAGTACTTTGATTATAGCTTCAGCAATTTACCATTAAAATGTACTTCAAGGAGTCTGTCAAAGAGGGTTAGGGCATCACGAGGAAGGAGTAAGAGAAGGTTGTAGAGAGGATGGACTCAGTCAAAGCACTTCATATATATGTACAGAAGGTCACAATGAGACATTGATTTCTACAATTAATATGCCCTAGTAATTTCAATAATTTTCTTTTGGAAACAGGTTCTTGCTAGGTAGTTCAGATGGGCCTTGAACTCACTATGTAGCCCAGACTGCTCTTGAACTTGTGTGACAACCCTCCTGCCTCAGTCTCCAAATGCTGGGATTACAAAAATCAAAACGAAAAAAGGCAAAGATCTTAATGTAAGATCTAAAACTCTAGAAGAAACCACGAAGGGAAACGTTTCAAGATACTGGGCACAGATGATGACTTTCTAGAT